TAAATTTACATGTTCTTTCCTGTTCCCCAATTAACGAATTAAATATAATGAAAAATTATTAAAAAATGAAAAATATATAAATTTATAAGAAGCATTTAAACGTTTTGAAATAAATTTACATAGATTTAAGATTTATTATCGTAAATTTTATATGGACAAATTTTTATTGGACAAACAGCGAAATTCACGTGATTAATCTTATCCAATGAGTGTTGAACTTTTTTTCATTTTATATTAAGCGAGAAATCAATCGATGATATAGTACTATTATTTTGAAGAAATATTTGAAAGTGATAAGAAATATAGATCGCACGTTAAGAACTTAAAGATAGTTATAAATCATCTTGATTATTTTATTTGTTTCTTTCGTATATGTTATAAATCGTACGTATATATATAATGTTATAATATATATCCTCTTAAATATGTTTTTTATCTTTCGAATTCTTTTATGTAAAACAATAAAAAAATTATCAAGAAAATAAATATTAGGTTGTCTTTCGTTTTTAAATACTGCCAGATAAAATAGCTGCGTACAGATAGCATATGATTTATAAATTCTTTCTCTCCCTCCTCCCTCTCTCTCTCTCTCTCTCTCTCTCTCTCTTTCTCTCTCTCTCTCTCTCTCTCTCTCTCTCTCTCTCTCTCTCTCTCTCTCTCTCTCTCTCTCTCTGTCTGTCTGTCTGTCTCTCTCTTTTTCATAATCTGATGTCGTAAGTCGATCACGTTATCTTGTTCAGTATTGTGATTGTTTATTTATTTTATTTATATCAGTTCCATGATAATTTAATATTGGTTTATGCACATAATTTAAAAATTATTTAAAAATAGTTTTTACAAAGACATATGTTATGGATTTATTATTATAAAATTAAAAAAGAGTGTGCGCGCTTGCGTCTTGTGCATATGTGTATGTGTGTATTCGAATTATAAAAAAGAAGATATAAAAAAGAGAAATTAAAATTTATTCTTAATTAAAAAATAGTGAAAATATAGAAGTGAAATGACCTATATTACATTGTTTTTACAATGGTAATAATTACTATTGTTCTGTAACAGTTTAGTGAAAGATTGTAGTATTTAATCTGTTTTAAAAATGAGTGATGATAAAATATCATGCATAGATATTCCGTTTTTGTTACCTTCTGTGAAAAAGGAACAGCAAGACTTGGTAGAGAAAGCAATTGATTGGGCACTTATGCATGGAATGTGTATGAGATCAAAAACAAATTTTAATAGAAATATGTTACAGTTTGCACCATTTGTTCTTTTACCATCACCATTTCCTAGAAAAGAATTTGAAAATGCTTGTGGTATTCAAACTATATTAAATGTTCTTATACATAAAGTAGCACACGATTACAATTTTTTAAAAGAAACTTTACAAGAAACAATAAAAGTTGATAATTTTACTAAAAAACTTTTTGATATATATGAAACTGTCTATAATGAAGGATTTACACAGAAAATTTCTTTGGGCTTACTTCGATCAGATTTAATGTTAGATACTAGTTGTGCAGAAGGAAATGAATGTAAGAAACATATACCTTATTGTTGTTGGAAGCAAGTTGAGATAAATACAATTGCTTCTGGATTTGGATGGTTAGGTCCAATATCCACGCAGTTACACAGATTTGTATTACAAGAACTTGGATATAAAGATCAGTTAAGTAATCTTCCTGAAAATAATACATTAGAAGAGTTATGCGCAGCTATGATTGAAGCATGGAATTTATATGGAAATTCACAGTGCGTCTATTATCAACTAGACATTTTATATTATATTTTGTAAAAAATTTTTTTATAAAAAGCATAAAATTGTTTTCAGAGCTATTATTTTATTTATAGTTGAAGATGTTTCTTATAATATTTGTGATCAACGTTTTCATGAATTTGAAATAAGAAAGCAAAATCCTAAAATAAAAGTAATTCGCCGTACTCTGACTGACATGATTACTATTTCCAAATTGGGGACTAATAAGGAATTAATAGTGGAAGATTATATTGTATCGGTAGTTTACTATAGGTGTGGTTATGAACCTGGGCAATACCATACAGAAGAAGAATGGGATGTTAGATTATTAGTAGAAAGATCTTCAGCAATTAAGTGTCCATCTATACAATATCATTTATCAGGAACTAAAAAAGTTCAACAAGCTCTTGCAAAACCTGGAATTGTTGCAAGATTTTTAAAAGATGAAAAAAATGTAACAAATATTAAAGAAATATTCACTGGTAAGTATAATTATAAACATTTGTAATATATTTTTATTTGCAGGTAAGTGTAATATATCATTGAATATAATGTATATAGACATTGTCATATATATTCTTAGAATATGGTTATTTTATAAATCAATATATATATATATATCTTTTTCTCTCATTTCTTAGGTTTGTATGCTCTTGATTTTGATGAACATGGAGATATAGCTATAGAAATGGGTATTCAAAATCCTGAACAATTCGTATTAAAACCACAAAGAGAAGGTGGATGTAATAACGTGTATGGAACAGATATAAAAAAATTCTTGTTATATATTAAAGATAAACAAGAACGTGCAGCTTGGATTCTTATGGATAAAATTATTCCACCAATTCATTTAAATTATATGATTAGACCAGAAAGCCATAATTATTTAGGGCCAAAAGAATTAGTTTCAGAACTGGGAATTTTTGGTGTTATTATCGCTGATGATAAAAATATATATGTTAATAAAAAGGCTGGTCATATGTTAAGAACGAAGTTAGCTATTGCCAATGAAGGTGGGGTAGCAACTGGTTTAGGCGCATGTGACAGTCCTTTGTTAATAGATTAGTATACTTTTGAGAAGTATTATTTTCTACAAATAATAGAACATAAGTAATGATTAACTACTAAAGTAATGTTAATTAATATATATTATTTTTACAAATTTTCTACTTTATCACAAAAATCTATTACGAATAATATTAAATGTGCTTTTGAAGTATGAAACAATAAGTTTTTTTATTAGCAGTTATTTGTAAAATACGTAAGGATTTGTATAAAATTTTAGAATCATCATGTATAATGCAAGAAAATATAATGTATTTATATAATATATATATATACATAATTTAATATATAAAAATGAAAATAAAATATATGTATCTATGTATCTACGAACGTATGTATGGCAAAATATATATTTTCATCATTATTACATTAGATTTATTTAACAAGAATACATTATAAAACATAACAATTAAAATAAAACATTTGCATAAACCAATAGTATAATAAATGTCAAGTATTATTTTAATTTTGTTTACAGTTCTACCAGATGTTATTCATGCAATAGCAAAATATGAAATAGGACACGAACCAAGAGAATTATATTTTTTCCGAGAAGGTACAGTTGTTATGTGGAATGTTCCTGATCTGGAAAGTGGGAACATATTACAATTTTTAAAACTTTATGAAGAAAATAGTTATACATTAGAATTAATTCATGCTGAAAGCGAATTAATGACTTATACGTATACAGAGAGTGGGTAAGTAAATTATCAAATCTTAACATTTGTTGATGAAAAATTAGATATAAACTTAAAGTTACATTAATATATAATTTTATCAATTTTGTAGAAAGAAATGTCATATCAAGGATGGAAATATAATACTTACACGGGATGCTACAAACTTAGAAAAATATACATTTTCCAATGCAATAGCGCAGTCTGTAAAACTCGGAATCTGGGAGACATCGTTAAGTCATTATATAAATACAGTAGAATTTGTAACGGAAGATTTAAGAACTGGTAAAAAATTGCGAATGTCGCAACGTGAGGTCCTTAGGAAACAGGGAGAATTATTTGCATTAAGGCATTTAATTAATCTAAGTTCGGATTTATTGGATACACCTGATTTCTATTGGGAACGAGATGATCTAGAAAACTTATATCAACAAATATATGGATACTTTAATATAGCAAAGCGTACAAAGGTGAGATATAAATGATGAACCATCTCTTCAATTTACATCATAATCATTTGACTATTTCGCTTCAAGCTAATTTATGTATTTGTATAGGTGATGAATGAAAAGCTAAATCATTGTGTGGAGCTTGTCGCAATTCTTTCAAGTCATTTGAGTGATCGACATCACATTCGTTTAGAGTGGATGATCATAGTTCTAATAATGGTAGAAGTTGCATTTGAAACATTACATTATGTAGATAGATATCTTGTAAAATAGAAATTACCACAATTTTCCTACGCATGTATTACGCATACATTATTAATATGTATGGTATTTATACGTTCATCGAACTATTGTATATATATTATAAAATTTATTTTGTAAGGCATATATGTGTACGTTATTTTGTTCATTTTTTGTTAAAATAATATTTTATTATTTAATAAGTAAATTGTACGAATATTGCGATTTATATGTTGTTAGGGCCATTTTTTGGTCTTTTTAAATATTGTTTCTTTATCGGTTTAGAATTTATCGAATTTAAAATAGGTTAAAATATAAAAACACTGTTTTGATTTATTCATAGAAAATCCTTGTTTACTATTTCCCATGCAGCGAGATGACAATGATGAAAATGATGGTTAAATATTTCTCCCTGACTTTAGTGTTATATTTTTATATCATTCTGTAAATATCCTGTAAAATGCAATCGTAAAAGAAAGTTTTTCGTAAGATAGGAGAAAAGTAAAATAAAAGTATTTGTTGAAAATTACTTTATATTTGATAATTAAAATTGTTTATTATATGATACATTTTTAAACTTGCTTATTTAGGAACGTAACACAAACTGACAATGAAGAAAAATTCAAAGATCCGTCACAAGTTATTTAAAAATAAAAAATAAATCAAAACCAATAAAATCGACGCGATTCGTGGAGTCTTATCTAGTATTAATCTTTTTTTTTTCTTTTGTCCTGAACTCGAAACGTACTACAGTCTTTTACATCTGGGATTTTATTAGTATCAAGATACATATACCTTGGCGCCGAGTATTTTTTATCTTTCTAATTATTTTTTATTTCACATAAAATCTAATCTAATATTGATGGGAAATTTATTTGAACAGTTACCTTATGTTTATTCGTGTGTAAAATGTTAAAACTACATCCAAAATATCCAATATAATGTTTTACAATTATTTTTGCTGAAAGAAAAATGTATTTAAAGTAAGAATTTTACAATAATAGTCAATAAATGTAGATAAGTTCTTTTTGAAATAAAAGATGTTGGGAAATAACCATCAAAAATAAAAGTTTAAATAATCTGTACACAGTTATACATTTTTCATAGAAAAAACTTATAAGAAAGTGTTATATACTGATGTTTCAAAATGCCACCTGTCTTCTATGCTGAAGCTTAGGAATCTGACAAGATAATCTCTGCAAAGTAGAAAATATATATGTAGTAAAACTATATTGTCAGTCTCTATAAGTGAAAGAGTCACCGATAAAATGAGACAGAAAAAATTACTTTGTTTTTTGTACGTAAGGTTATATGCAGATGATTAAATATAAAACCGAATTATACAATTATTATAGGCACACAAGAGTAAGATACAATATATAATTAAATTGTAAAAAAATTATAATATATTTTAATATATTGAATAGGAAAATTGTATTAAATTTTCAAGAATATATTAAATTAATAAATTTCTAACTACTTTAACCTCCAAATAGTGTATTCTAGCACATGAATTTGCATCTCCATTTTTTTTTATTAAGAGAATTGTCGCACATGCGTATAACGAATAAAGTCCTCTGCTAGACAAAGGGAATGATACCATGATGTTTTCGGTTTTTTCTTGATCTAACTGACAATATAGTCTTATTATATATATGGGAAACATCCACTTGTAAGCTGTTAAGGCTGACTGATAGTGCGCTTAGACCAATGTTTTATTCTTTCCCTTCTCTCTTACTCTTTTCATTTCCCCCTCACTCTTTCTATTATTCACGATTTCTCTTTCCCTTCATTCTCACCCCTCAGTGCGCTCTTATATCGCAGTGGTGCGTACAATGATGAACTGTACGGAGGGACAAAGCGATTCTGCTCCTGGAACTTATTCTGCTCTTAGCTTTTCCACAAATTAGTTCAAGGTTACAATCGGTTCTCTTTTTTTTTGTCGTAGACACACATACGCATAACAGGCCTTTGCTTCTTGTTCATTTTACTCTTATGGTAGTTTCTCAAGTTGTGAATACGAAAAGGAAATTCATACTATCTCTTATTTTTCCGCAAAGGAGGCAATTTCTAGGAGAGTCAAATGATCAACGCTCAAATTTTCGGATGCTTGTAAGTGTTTCACATGCCCTTTATAAAACTTTTTCTAGTTAGTGCCATATGATATGGCACTACCTAGATGGTAGAAAGACTTTGATAACAAACATTTTATCGCAAACGGATGTGGAAAGTTGTTGAACATATTATCCATTTGCGTATTTGGATAAATTTAATCTAGTTTTCAAGATTAATTTATGTTTAATACATTGACATTTCAGCAATATTTTATATAAATCGATTATATCTATTTTAATATTGCTATCGCCAGTTTTTGTAAAAGAGAACTGTTATATTTATTTTATACTTATTTTCATTTCATTTAACGTACGTCCATTATTTTATAAATAATAATAAAAATATCTTATAAATTGTTTTCGAATATTGATCATTGGCGGTGGATCGCTATAGTCAACTTATTAAGATATTCTAAAGAAAAAAAATACTTCTTTCTTTTTATTTAGGAAGGACGATAAGAAACGTGTTTCGCGGTCGATACTGTTTGTAAAAAACAATGTTCGAGTTTGCAAAATTCCTGGTTGGCAAGATAAAATTAACTCACATCTAATTCGATATCTGTATTATTAATATTTTAAAGAAAATGTCCTAGCTTGACCAAGTTTCTTCTTTTCCTTTATACATGCAAAAATGACTTAGAAACGTAACACAACTGTTGCACATGCAACATGCTATGACGTGGGCGTACGAACAACTTTTCAAGGAAAAGTCGATAGTCGCGTTTTTATCTCTCTCTCTCTCTCCCTCTCTCTCTTTCCCTCCCCCTCTCTCTTTCATTCTCTCTCTCTCTCTCTCTTTCTCTCTCTCTCTCTTGTTCAAGTGCAAGTTCTGTAGATACGTACAATGATAGTCAGCGTCATGAGCTTTCGATTGATCGCTTTTCAATGCACGTAACACTTTCGCGCTTGCTTTTTACAGACTCGTATTTTTGCCACGCGGCAGAAATTTCATTTTTAGCAGATCAATCTGACAGAACCATATTCCTTCTTCACGTATTTTTATTTTATTTGCAGTAAGTATTGGAAGTATTTATGTTCTTTAAAATTGAATATGTTTTTGTTAAAATAAATTCTATAAAATGCATACAATTAATTTGAATAATAGCTGTCAATTACTATTGTAAAAAGAAATTAAATAACATATACACACATATGTAATATTCCACTATATATATATGTATATATAGTGGAAATTTTGACTAAATTTTGTTTCTTTTCTTTATTCAGTAATTTTTCTAATAATCTACAAAGAATTTTTGAAAAACATGACAAGAACACTTCTTATAGAAATTATAGAAATATCGATTAGATGTAGATTTTGATAAAAGATTTCTTCTGTCAACGAATATTTCCTTATAATAGCACGCGCAATGGATTTACTGGGATACAAAACGTTGTTATCTATTTCTATCTAATTTTCTATTTGTCTACAATTCAAGTATATAGTAAGGACCATTCTCTCTCTTCCCTTTCTATATTTCTCATCTTTTATTATCTTTTTTGTTTATTGGTAAATGTTTGTATGGGTAACAAGTGTTTCAAATTCTAAATTCTTTCAAAACTATTCTTCCTATCATAAATTCTAGAATTAAAAATTCTTTATCGCTCACGTAAAACAAAGCATTATAGAGCAAACTGTTCAATGTCCGGCTAAAATCTTCGAAAATAATTTTAACAGAAGTATGTCAAAAAAGATGACGTTAGTTTAATCGGTCATTTACTGATTTTTATTTTATCTTTCCTGTCTTTCTTTTTTTTTTATTACAATATGGATCATCGTTAACACTTCTTTTTTTAGAGAAAGGATAGTATGATGCGCCACTGCTTCTTGTCTTGTACGTCGATCGCTCGGTGGAACGAGCCTATCCCATGACGTATATACGGTGTTTTTGAGGTGGGATAAAGCTTGTAAACGGTTATGGATACAACCATGGGAGAACCACAGAGTACAGGAGCACGTTGGGTGTGTCCAAATGATCGGCATTTAGCATTAAGAGCTAAGTGAGTGGTTCTATAATAATTTCAATTAAAAGATCCATTCGATCGACAATTTTATTTACTTATTATCACTTTCTTTTCATTATTCAGATTGCGAACAGGCTGGTCAGTGAAAACTGGATATTTAGACTCCGGATGGGACAATTATTCTAATGTTGGTAGTGCCAACCGTACAGAGCAATCTTTCGTATTAACAGAAGAAGAACGACGTACAATCATACAAGTGAGCGATTTTGACTCGTCTTTATTCTACGTATAGGCGCCGAAAGCGAGAAGTATTAGTTTCATAAACATTCTATATATGTAACAATTATATTCTTCGTACTTTTTTATCTTCTTTTTTTAAATATTTTTCACTGATAAATAATAACATAAAAATTTTTTTTATTTTAATCTTTTCTTTTCCCAGGTAATTCAAAGAGCGGAGGCGTTGGACTTATCGGAGCAGAAACGCATTGGCAGGCTGGTTGAGAGATTGGAGGACATGAAGCGCAACGTTCGCATAATCACTTCCAGTCGATCGGACGAGCGAAAAAATTGCGGTAGCCGATGTTCCAATGGCTCGCACTGCGTCTGCTCCTGTGCTTTATGTGGCGAAAAGTTTGGTGCTGTATTAGGAGCTACACCAACCTTTTGCAAAGACTGTAGGAAATATGTTTGCCAAAAATGTGGCAGAGAGGCTGGTACGTCGAATGTACTAGGTTCTACTACCACTACAGAAGTTCTATCCTCGACTACATGCAACTCGTTCACAAATGAATCGATACCAAAGAGGACCGCAATACAACGAATCGTACAGAGGACCTCGAACAATTCGCAAAAGATTTTTCTTTGTCGCATTTGTGCCGAGAGCAGGGAGATTTGGAAAAAAAGTGGAGCTTGGTTCTTCAAAGGAATGCCGAAACATGACCTTCCGAAGAAAAAAGTACGTTTCGAGCAATCACGTCAAGTTTATTAAATTATCTTTATTAATTGAGCGCGGGAGAGACATAATAAAAACCACTGAGAGAGAGAGAGAGAGAGAGAGAGAGAGAGAGAGAGAGAGAGAGAGAGAGAGAGAGAGAGAGAGAGAGAGAGAGAGAGAGAGAGAGAGAGAGAGAGAGAGAGAGAGAGAGAGAGAGAGAGAGAGAGAGAGAGAGAGAGAGAGAGAGAGAGAGAGAGAGAGAGAGAGAGAGAGAGGGAGGAGGGAGAGAGAGAGAGGGAGGAGGGGAGGAGAGAGAGAGAGAGAGAGAGAGAGAGAGAGAGAGAGAGAGAGAGAGAGAGAGAGAGAGAGAGAGAGAGAGAGAGAGAGAGAGAGAGAGAGAGAGAGAGAGTTACTTGTTTGTGTAGAGCCGATTACTTGTATGTGTAGGAACGTGATTGGTCTCGGGTGGGTCAAAGAACGCTAGGCCAATCGTCTTGTAAAATCATCAGTGTTTGTAAATCGTTGGAATCAAACGAAGCTCAGGACTCCTCATCGGACGAGGAGGCAACAAAACGTTTGATTGGTGCACGTAGCTGCTATTCCTCTTCTCCGAGCTTGCAGGGTATCCAAGACATCAATGGTATATCCAAACAACACGTCTTATGATGCTCAAACGCCAAATGGATTTTTTAAAGTTAAAAGTCGATCAAATGGCTATTCGTCACCTACAGGCCATCGAGATGAGAGTTCTTCCACGACGACAACGAATAGGTTGGACAAATTTTCAATACATTCACAGTACAGTCGTCTCTCATCAGCGGCAACCTTACGAACCTCTCGTACGAACGAAAAAAGTACATGTGATCAACGTGGCGGCAGTTCCCTCGATGATAATGCGTCGACTGAGGAAATAAGATTAGAAGATAACGGTGACGAGCAGTCTGATCTCATCGACGATTCTCTCGGTTCTAGTGATCAGTGTAAGAGTTCTCAGGTACAATCAGTCAGGTACGTAGTAACGATGTTCGGCAGAGTAGAGGTTTGACTCACGCGTCTCGGACGCTACATCCTTGTAGACGAAACTCACTGTCGACTTCGCCACCAAGCACTCTGATGGAACGGATTTTGGAGGAGTCTTGGATGCACGAAAAAAATGCGGAATACGAGGCGAATTGCGCCAATCAGATGAACGATGCGCCTATCAGCACGTGGTACGTGCATCACTCGTCGAGGCAACAAACATCGGATTATCTCGAAAGTTGGTATTTCAATTTAATTGTCACTTATTACTATTTTTTATGCGATAACTTTCACATTTTTATAAAGTGTATAACAAATACTATAAGATGCATGTATATTTACATATATATGAATATGTATTTTTATGGATTATTCAGTGATGAGATCCAAAACGGAGGAAGGTTTTGGAATTCTGGAAATCTCCTTGCTATACGACCCAGTGGCTCAGTGCCTCCAGTGCAAAGTGGAACGAGCGTTGGGATTAAAGCCTATGGACATCCACGATCTCGCCGATCCATTTTGCAAAATCACCATACTGCCAGTGGGAATGGGTACAAATATCAAGCCCATAAGAACGAAAACTGTTCACAAGACACGAGATCCTGTGTTCAACGAGACAGTGAACTTCTACGTATCGAGAGATGCCGATGTATGAGTAATGATAATTAAAGTGATTGTTAAAGTTTTCTTATTTTATGACGATTCGATAAAATGAGAATACGATTGAATGATCGCGACAGATGAAGAGTGGCAGAGCCTTACATGTCATGATACTTCAAGACGATCCGTGGGGAGAAGACTTTCTAGGGGAGGCGAGATTTCCCCTGTACGAACTAGAACCGTTCCAGACGAAGCACTACAAAATCAATCTACAAAATCATTATCCGGTCTGTGTGTATTTTCGATTAAGAAATTTCTTTGGAAATTTTATGATTTATATAGCGTTAAATTCTTAATATAAAACTTATTGTCTCAACATTGTTCTAGGTGAGTCGCGAAGAAGAGGCTTGGGGTCTTCATCGAGGCAATCGAGGTCAAGTACAACTCACTCTAAGTTACTGTACCCGTCGACGTGCCCTGCTAGTTATTATTCATCAAGCTATGAATCTTTTACCCATGGACAACAACGGGTTTTCTGACCCTTTTCTAAAGCTGTGCCTTGTAGAGAATGTGATCGACAATCGATGGCAACGAGGTCACGATCCTCTCGGGCGCAACAGCGTGAAGAAACAATCCAGCAAGAAGTTAATCACAGGTCGCAGCTCGTACAGCACGAGCGTCAAGTGGAAAACACTCAACCCAGAGTGGAACGAAGAGTTCATTTTTGGGATTCGATTAACAGACCTCATGAAAGTCACGTTATGCCTCTCTATGTGGGACAAGGATTTCGGCAAGCGTAATGATTATCTAGGTAATAATGTTCATTTTTTTAAAAAAGTACAATACGAATCCTTGACACTTCATTAATAGAATTTCTTTTGATGGTATTATTTTAGGAGGGCTTGTATTAGGATGCAATAGTAAAGGAGCACGATTGCGACATTGGGTAGATGTTATCAAATTTCCCGATTATCAGCATCCTGCTTGGCACAATTTAACGGAAGTTCTTATGCCAATAGAGTAATATTTTTCAATGGCATAAATATATGAAATATGTAGAAAAGTCGGAAATACTGATCTCAATGTTGACATGTTAAAGAGGCAATATAAGGCAAAAGTTACGTCAATAGATATTGCCTAAGGAACTAATGTCTATACTGCACATTATTACTCATATTAAAATATGAAAATAAGTATAAGAAGGATAATTATAGTCAGTTTAATTTGTTATTCTTACTTTTTTCTAATTTTAAGCATAATATTAAATTATTATATTATATACATGTAAATTATTATGTATTTATACAAATATGTATATAATTTGTTTAACTTATCATATTACAAAATATGTGAAATAATAGCAAAATTCATTTTTTATATTAATTATGTATTATGCATATATTAATTATATTAATTATGTATTAGTCACTTTCAGAAGAATATTCTTCTGCTTCTTGTAACCATTTGATAAAAGGTTGTACTGCGATTTTTACTTTTTTGTTTTGAATTTCATCTTTTTCATCATTGGACTCATACCATTCTAAAATTTTATCTTCTGATAATATATCTCGATCATAAAACAAATGCAATAAATGTTGTAAAAACGGTAACAATTCTTGGGTTACACTGCCAACTTCTTCTACTGCACGTAAACAATCTTCTTGTGCCACATCAGTTTTAATATAATTTAAAATAATAGGCTGAAAATAATTGAACATAATTTTTAAATTTTTTTGATAGTTTTGATTATTCATTGGAACTTTTATTTCGGACAAATAATGTAAAGGCAAACTCAATATAGCTTTTATGACATTGTATGTAACTTCTCGCATAGTAACATTATATGCATATCTTGATGAATTTATTTCTAATATCAGATTTTCACAATTCAATTTATCTTGAAAACCTCTTAATAAGCTATCGATAACTTCTGTTAGAAATAGATTCGTGTCATCAGGAATCGGAGTGTGCTGTCGTGAACTTTCGTTCGTACTTGATTCATCTGTTGTATAGTTATTATAATCTGTAGCTTCATTATTTTTAAAAAATAATAATTTTTCATTAACATCGAGATCCGACATTCTTTTTGTAATTAAATTTGCATTTTTCATTTCTAGAATGGAATCAATGTATTGTTTTTGCGGGTTAACCATCGTATCGCAAACTAATATACATCCATCTAATTTTGCATTTTTCTTAATATTACAATTAGAAAAAATTATACTGTCAGTAATTTTGCAACCATTCCCTATTTTAACATTAGAAAAAATAAAAGAATTTTTTATAATCGCCACTTGACCTATAGCGCAGTTACTGCCTATTACAGATTTCGTAACAAAGGTATTTTGTCCAAGTGTACTATTCTTTCCGACTAAGCAATCTTTTTCTAATATACAACCTTTAGCTAGAGTAACACTTTTGTGTTTATAGCTACTTTGAGACATAGAAATAAAATTTCTTAATGGGCCAAACATTCCCGGTGCGTGTGGGTAGCCGCGTCTATGTAAAATATCACGGCTGAGAGTATAATATGCATTCCATGATGTAATTGGTAAACTGTAATCATTAGAGTTCAATAGTTGCCAATAAATCCGTGCATCTATAATTTCTTCATTCATTAAAACTCCTTTGATAAAATCTTCCATTGTCTGTATAATATAAAAATAAAAAAAAGAGAATAAAACAATTGTTAAATATTTCCATATATATATATATATATATATATATTATATAAACAATGCTATTTACATACTTGAAAGTCAAAATTATCTGCAAATAATGGAAGTACAGCAGGTGAACATAAGTATACATGTGTATCTATAAAACACGTACTAATATCAATTTCGCTATTATCTAAGAACCAATTCAGTTCTAATTTTATCTTCTTCTCATCGTTTCTTAGTTTTTTGTAAAATAAGATCTTATTATTGGCTTTGTTAGACACTACGAGAGAAGTCTCTTCTTTTATGAAAGAATCATTTGTGCAACCAACATTTCGAAGTAACATTGTCATTGCTGCACCTTTATCTTTTTTTTCTTTAGTGCAATGAAAATTTAGGGCACTTAGTAAGTCAGTATTTATAAACGTATTTCCTCTAATCAATATAAAGTAACCACGTATCAAGCATTTTGTATCAATGTCTCGAAGAGCATCACCCAAAGATCTACATCCATCAGAAATGATTAAATTAATGGTAAGATCTTCATGCTCTTCTAGTTTGACATATTTTTTTAATGAGTCAATATGATTGCTGCAGTACAGAAATAGTTCTTGTACCCTGGACCTTTTTAAAGTTTCTATTAGATAGTCCAACAAAGGTACATTTAAAATTGGTAATAAAATGCTTGGATATACATCCTGCATTGGAGTCAAAGCTGTTGTAAAGTCATCAGCTAATGCAACGGCTTGTAAGACATCCTTTTTCCTTAGTTTTGTATCCATAATGTTTCGTTCACGATTTTATATCTCTTGTAAATCACATACACATGCTTTCAAAATTAAACACATATGCCAATAGCATAATATATGTATTGCAAATTTAACCTAACCTACTACATACAGAACATTATTTGGTTATATTCTACCCGCCATTAACTCTCCAGTGATTCGACGAACTTATTTAGAATTCTAGCTAAATATTAAACTTGATTGGTCTATTTTCTATTGGAATGTTTACATGTAGCATACAAAAATAGAATGATATTGAAAATTTTTGTTTTGTTCTTTTCAAACGGTTAGATTATTCATTAAATTATTTGTTCATTCTATTTTAATAAGAAAATTCTATTTGAGAACTGCCAATAAGAATGTTATCTCATAAATAATTACTTTTTCTCTGTATTCGTATTCCTTAATATTTCACTCATTCAATTAATATAAATATAGAAAAACTATCATTATCAACTTAATTGTATTGATAACTTGATTCTCATAAAGAATAATGATTCATTAAAATTAGCATATATTCCATCATAATGTAATAAGATTTATTAAAATGTAATATATTCCATATTATATTATAATCATTACGTGTAATTTCATATATCTAATAAAAGAATATTGTCAATTCTACAAGTGGAAGGGTCACCGATGAAGTGAGATAGAAAAAGTTACTTTGTCCATTGTGCACAAGATGTTTGCAAGCGATGATATATGAAATTGAATTATATAATCGTTATAAATACATATAAGATAAATTAAATTGCAAAAAAATTATAATATATTTTAATAATCGAATAAAAAAATTGGATTAAATTTTTAAGAATATATTTAGTTAATACATTTCTGACTGTTTTAATCTCCAAATAGCATGCTTTAGCTCGTGAATTAGTATTTCTATTTTCTTTCGTCGAAAGTATTGTCGTGTATGTGTATAACGAACGAAGTACTCTATATAACAGAGAGAATAATATCGTTGGTAACGTGATGCTTTCGATCTAATTGATAATATATAATCTGTTACAATGAAACGAATCAGTTCCAGGAATTATATCGAAGGAAAAAATCAGGAGATAGTAGCCTAGTAGTGAAGGAAAATAGTACAGATTATACGGTATAATGTGACTTCATATATAACCTTTCCAAGTAAAGAAGGTTAGCAACGTAAACAAAACGGTCGTGTGCTAAGCCCATTGTAAGCGCATGAGATTTTATATATTGACTAGGAACGATAGTCAATTGTTGGATTCTACAAATGAGTCTATTTGTAAAAGTCTTTTCATTACCTTTTGTCAAAAGCATATGTGACTTCAACGACAGATATGGACAAAATATGAATTATGAATTCAAATGGGGAACGCTGTCCCCACCATGTATGCATTTATCGTATCGGCGTATAAGCTTATTTGGTTATTCCCCTCTCACGCGTACATACGGAACATTTTTTTTACTCGTGGGCTTTTTAAGTTATGAAAGTTAACATAGTATTTTTAAATGGATACCTATAATATTTTTGGCATATTTATACCGTATGGCATATTTATACATAGTAGCAATTTTTTATTAAATATGATTTTGATTGCTAATGAGACCTATTGTATAAATATGCCAAAAAAATTTTATCTATTTAGAATTATATTGACTTCCATAACTTGAAAAAGTCACAAGTAAAAAAAATTTTACATGCATTTTGCAGTTGATTCAGAATCAGGGAAATTTTTTTTATTAAATTTTCTTGTAACTTCAGTCAGTTGTAAGGTTTTTGTTAGAACGCTGTGGATAGATAACGTGTGTGTGTATGTATATATATATATATATATATATATATATATATATATATATTGTATGTGTATGTATATAGAGAATGTTTTATCTAACTGTAACACTTGAAATATCTTTATTATTATTGATGATATGACAAAATGTCAATAGAAAAAATTGTTTGATCCTAAAGGAGATCCTAATCAGTAGATTCAAATTATATGTTTAAATCCATGTTTAAAAAAATGAGAAAATTTTAAATTAAACGATTACCATTATTTTAACTTAAATAAAACGCGATTCAAATGCAATCCATAAATGAGTAAAAGTACAAAGAAATCATTTATTGTTATTTGAAAATATATCAAAATTAATGGAATTTATTTTGAACATTTTTAAAAATAAATGCTTTACGTTGCAAAACTAGAATTTTTATTTTTTTTGTTTTCCTTTGTAGCTCTGTTAGTCAAATTATCTAAGGTTATCTAAAGATAAAAAGATTCATATCGTTGAATTCATTTTTTTTTTTATAAGTTACAGTAGTAATAAAAAAATATTGATGATCTTGAATCTTTAGAAAAGATGATCTTGAAAATAATTTTGTGGTAATGAAAATATTTTTTCCTTGAGATTTAACAATGTTTTTCTTTGCCATTTTTTTTTTTATATAATTGAAAGTAATGGAGTTACTTCAATTGCTATAATTAAGTGGAAAATTCTGTATATAAATTATGTTTCTAATTTCTATTATTTTTTATTATTAGCAAATTCAGCAAACATTAAATGAAGAAATAATCATTCTATCCAATAATTTGAATGATGATAGCCAAATAAAATTACAGAAACAAAGCTTACACAGCTTGCAATGTGTTTATAAATGTTTAAGAAAATTGTCTTCAATGCTATCAATGGATAATTATATGGAAAGTTTTACAAAAATTGATGTTTTAGAACAAGCTACAGCAGAACTGAATCATTTGAAATTTAATGCATCCAGATGCAGATCAGATATCTCTATAGATCATCAGACAGTATGTATTATATCCTTATGGATACATTTGCACTATATTTCTTATTACTTGCACATAATAATGTTACTTTCTATTAAACTGAAAGTAAATCATAATTCTTCGTGAAAGAACATTTAAAAATAGGCATAAAAGTCCTAATATTATAAATAAATAATTTCTTTTTACAAGAATTACTATATAAAAATTGTTCTACTAATATAAAAAATTTTATATAGGAAAGCAAGAAATTAGAAGATCTCTTAATAACGCATCTGAATGAGTTATTTTTAGTTTGTATACATGAAAAAGATTCTAATTTATTAATTCGTTGTTTGAGAATATATATTATGCTTGATAATGTTACAGAATTAGTAGTAAGTTACAGAATTAGTAGTAAGAATGAGTAGTAATGTTATAGAATTAGTAGTAAGAAGAGATGTTATTAGTCCAATTATAAATAATATACTTCAAGATGAAGATTCACAAACTGAATTTAATAATCTTCAAAGTATTTACAATAGATTATTAAATATTTTAAGCGGAGAACTCAAACAACTTTTAGACATCACATTATGCTCCAATAGGTATATTGGATGTTTTGTAGATAATTAATGTTTGTAGATAGTGTAAACATTCCAATGTAAATATTGTTTGAATATTATTCTAGGATACAAGTGAAGGGTTTTAATTTCTTGGTAAATAGTTTTTGGATTGAAATAGAGGAAAAAATTGATCAGCAATTGAAATATATTTTTGCACCTGGAAATCCTGAATTGTTCCATAAAGTAAGTGATACAATTTTAAAGATAATGTAAATATAAAATCTTTTAGTAATTTTCATATTTTATATTTGAAGAGATATACAGAAACAATGTGGTTTCGAAAAAAGCTGGAAGAATTCTATAATGTACCTGCTCATATAAGCATATTGAAAGATCATCTACAATATAAAAATTTTCTTAAGAAATGGAATCTACCAGTTTATTTCCAAATTCGTTTTCAAGAAATAGCCGGTACAGTCGAAACAGCATTTAAAAAGTCTATTTCACCTGAATTGATTAAAGAATCTGCAAATATTCTAATGCTAGAAGAATTTTCTCTTTACACAACGTCTATCGTCTGGAATTGTTTGTACAGGATATGGTCTGAAAATATATATCTATCTCAACTTTTTCAAGAGTAAGTAATATTTTTTATAAGTATGCTTGATAATATTATTAGGTTGTTACATATGAAATTTTTGATTTTGTAGTATAAATTCTCTGGGACGTTTTTATATCTATGGATGTGTAAGATGTCATTTTGAAACTTGTCATTTATTCTATTAGAGCTGATCTTTCTAGACCTTGTCATTCAAAGTCGTTGTTGGCTTTTTAAGTTTTTAATTTAAGAGGCTTCCATCTCCATTTTTAAACTTTTCATATCACCAACGAATTGTACATTTATTTATAGTATTTTTATCGAATATGTAATTAATTTTCCGAGCAATTATTGCGATATTATGACCATTTTATCAGTGATAAAAAAAATGCTCGTAGATCGCGTTGATTCATGTTGAGACATAAGCCATGTAAAAATAATGTTAGATATGTAAAAAAAAGAAAATGAAGATCAGGTCTAATAGAGTGAATATAGGGTTTTATAGCCTTATGGCTATAGGGATTTAAAATGATGCCTCATACATCCATAAACGTGGAAGCATTTTCAAGCAGGGGTGTTTCAGAGAATTCATATTCTGGAATTAGACAGTTCATATATAACAACTTAATAAATTCATATTATTAATGTTTATTTCTTAAAATAACAGATTTTGGAAATTGACTCTGCAAGTATGTTCAAGATATCAAACATGGGCTTGCACAGCAATAAGACAAGTATGTAATATAAATTTTTTCTAATTATTTATTTCTTGATTAATAAATATATATGAATTAATAATTAATACATTCGGATTATTTTTCTATACATAAAGAAGTGGCAAGAAAGTAATAAGTCTGAAAGTATAGCAAATAGTAATCGTTATACTAAATTGGATTTCCTGATACATTTGTATTGTGATGATTACAATTCCAATAAATTATTCTGTAATGTATGCATTTCCCATAGAACTTTTTATAATAAAGCTCAACTTCTTAAAAATGTTATTGTAACTAATAAGAACGGAATTCAAGGGAATATTTCTACGCTTCAGTTAAAAAAAAGACCTATACGGAAACACAAGTCTGTTGTAAGGGAAGAGGCATCTTTAATATAAAATATTTTTGTATATTTCATTCTAAAATCTTTATTCAAAAAGTTATCAAAAACATTTTATCAAACATTTATCAAAAATAAGAATGGTATTTTATATTGTAATAAATAATTTTTTGTTTCATATGCCGATACATATATTAATTGTAAAAGAATATAATATAAAGCGGCAATGCGATACACATTACAATGATTATAATGATATCAGTGGAAATGAAAGACAAATAAAATTTGAATCGTTATGAACGTTCGTCAATAGTCAGAAATTTGTATTTCAAAATTTATTTAAACAAAATAAATCCTCCGTTTTGGTCAGTATCGCACATAAATTTGCGAAACATAGCAATAAATAGTTGCCTGAATCAATTGGTAATATATCCTTATTTATCGGTAATATATCAAACTTCTGTTGGAGTTATTTCGATCTTAAACTGCAGAATGAAGAATCGCTCGAATCACCGAAATGATGTAACTCGAAAATAAAGGATATTTAAACTTTAAATCCATTTCAATCAAGATATACTTCTTATGTAATTCAGCTGAACCTTTTGATACCTTTTTTTGAATTATGGCATAGCTTCTAGCTTCATCCTAGCAGTTATTTCGATCCTTAACTGGTAAGTTAAGAATCCTTTGTGTCTTCGAAACAATACCTATTCTATATTGCAATTCAAATAATATACTCGAAAGAACATTACATTCTAGTTGCTCTCATTAAGCCTCGTTGAATGAATCCGATTTCGTGACTATCGGATAAGATTTTTACTTTTCATATTTCGATTTTCAGTCACGTATGCGAAAGTCGTAAAGAGTGGATACTCAAAATCTCGAAACCTCGAAATCTTGAAAACGTATCAATTCAAGAAATACTTCATATATAATTCAGTCGGTTAAATTGATTGGTAACATTTGAACTGTAGTGTATTTTCTGTCAGAGTTATTTCAATCCTTAAATGCAGAACCAATAATAGCTCGGGTTTGTTAAACGACTTCAATTCTATGTTGCAATTTGAAGAATGTCCTCGTTCAAGTTTTTTCAGTTTTGATGAGCGTTCACTTACACGAAAATCGATGTACTCGAAATGAAAGGATACACAAAACTTCAAAACAATCTTAATCAAGAAATGTTGCGTATGTAATTCAGTCAGTTGTATCGATTCGTATGATTTTCTGATTTTGTCATAATTTCTGTCGGAGATATTTTGATCCTTAACTGCTAAATCAAGAATCATTCGTGTTAGTGAAAAAATACAAATTCTTAATTGTAATTGAAGTTATATCTTTGGCAGAACGTTGTATTCTTGTCGTTCTTGTTAAGCCGCGTCGAATGAATCCGATTCCATCAGAATCAGATGAGATTAAAATTTTTTATGTTTTGATAAGCGTTTGTGTGCGCAAAAATCGACGTAAGTCGAAACGAAAAGATATCCAAAACCTCGAATTCGTCTCAATCAAGAAATATTTCTTATATAATTCAGTTGGCTTAGTAACATTTCGGTTAGTAACATTTTCTGAACTATGGCGTATCTTTTGTTGGAGTTATTTCAATTCTTAAATGCTGAGTTAAGAATATATATAATAGTTCGTGTCTGCTAAATAACACCAATTCTACGTTGTAATTCTAAAGATGTCTTCGCTCAAGCTTAATATTCTTTTTGAAGCCGCGTCAATAGGATTTAGTTTCGTAAAATTCAGATGAGATTTCAATTTTTTTTACATTTTGATTAGTGGTTGCGTACGCCTAAATTGACGTAACTCGTAACTCAAAATCTCGAAACCGTTTTATCCAAGAAATGCTTCTTATTTAATTTAGTCGGTTGAATTGATTGATTTCATTTCCACATTCGTGTCAAGGCTTCTGTCGGATTTATTTCAATCCATAACTAGTAAATTAAGAATCTTTCGTGTCAATGAAGAAACCCCAATTCTTCATTGTAATTCAAATAATATTCTCGAGAAAACATTAAATTATAGTTGCTCTCGTTAAGTCGCGTTAAATAACACCTATTGTGTAAAAATAGGACGAGACATCAACTTCTCACGTTTTGAATTGTGATCACGTACGAAAAATTCGACATGACTCGTAACGAGTTGATTCTAAAAACCTCAAAACCATTTTAACCAAGAAATGCCTTCTATGTAATTTAGTTGTTAGAATCGATTAGTAACATTTTATGAACTGTGACGTATCTTCTGTCGGAGTTATTTCAATTCTTAAATGCAGAACCAAAGATAGCTTGGGTTTGTTAAACAACTGCAATTAATCGTTGGAATTCGAAGAATGTCCTTGCCCAAGAATTATGCACTTTCGAAAAGAAGCGTTGATAGAATTCGGTTTCGTGAGATTCGGACGAAATTTCAATTTTTTATGTTTTGATTTGCGGATGCGTACGAGAATATCGACGTCAGGCGAAACGATAAGATACTCAAAAATTCGATACTATCTTAACCAAGAAAAGGTGCATGTGTAATTCAGTCGGTTGAATCGATTGGTTACATTTCATGAACTGTGAAATAGCTTCTCTCGAACTTTTCTCAATCCATAACTTCTAAATCAAGAATCCTTCGGATCAGGGAAAAATTGCCAATTTTCCGTTGTAATTCAAATAATAACCTGGGAAGAACATTATATTTTAGTTGCTATCTTAAAGCTATGTCTAATGAATCCGTTTTCTTGAGAATCAGACGAGGAATCTACTTTTCACGTTAGGATGACTGTTCGCGTACACAAAAATCGATGGTACTCGAAATAAGAGGATACTTAAAACCTCGAAACATTTGAAGGGTGAAATTCATCGTAAATAATTCATTCAGTTGTATCGATTACTTACACTTCATAAACTATGTAATTGCTTCTCTCGGTCTTATTTCGATCAGTAATTTCTAAATCAAGTATCCTTCGTATCAGCGAAGAAACTTCAATTCCTTTTCTAATTCAAATAATAACCTCGATAGAACATAATATTCTAGTTTCTCTTGTTATGTCGCATTAAATGAATCCGATTATCTACTTGTCTCGTATGATTTGCGGTCACGTACGCGAAAATCGACGTACCTGTAACCCAAGAAAACCACAATTCTCGAAAGCGTTTTAACAAAGAAATACTTCTTATGTAATTAAGTCGGCTGAATGGATTGGTAACATTTCCTGAACTGTGGAATTGTTTCTATTGGAATTATTTTAATCCTTCACTGTTAAATCGCGAATCCATCATATTGATAGAAAAATACAATTCTTATTGTAATTAAAATAATATCCGCAGTAGAATATTATATTCTAATTGTTCTCGTTAAGAAGCTTTAAATGAATACGATTAAGTGAGAATCGGACTAGAAAACTACTTTTCACGTTTTGATTTGCGATCACGAATACGAAAATCGATGTAAATCGTAACGAAAAGTTACCATAATCCTCGAATACACTTTAATAAAAAAATGCTACATAAGTAATTCAGTCAGTTGAATCGTTAAATGAATCCGTTTTCATGAGAATCGAACGGTTTATATGTTTTTCTTTCGTCAATGAGCATTCGCGTCCGTGAAAATCGATCGAACTCAAAACGAGAGAATACTCAAAACCTTGAAATCTTTTTAACAAAGAAATTTTATTGGGTTGTTCGGAAAGTAATTTCGTTTTTTTCCGACAGAGGATTTAATTGTATTTTTTTGCACTCAACTTCACATTTAAGCCGCATAATCATTATATGTTTTGAGAGCTGATATAGCAAGACTTGTGTGTGAAAAAGTCCGATTGATTTTACGCAGTAGTTTTTGGTTGGTGTCAATAGTAGTTTAAATGTTGCAAATGGTGCAAATAGTTTAAATATGGATAGCAATAAGCAGCATTTTCGCTATATTTTTCTTTTTTACTATAGAAAAGGTAAAAATGCTGTTCAAGCTAGAAAGAAATTAATCGAGGTGTATGAAGAAGATGTGTTGTCAGTACGTTAGTGCCAGAACTGGCTTGCAAAATTTCGATGTCGAAGATGCACCACGTTCTGGAAGGCCGGATGAAGCTGATAAAGATACGATAAAGGCATTAGTTGATGCAAACTGGCGAATAACAACACGTGAGATCGATGAGAGGTTAAATTTATTAAATTCAACTGTTTATGACCACTTGAAAGGCCTGGGTTTAAGCTCGAAGCTCGATATATGGGTTCCCCATGTTCTCGCGGAGAGAAATTTGTGTCCTCGCATTGACGTCTGTGATTCGCTTCTCAAACGTCACGAAAATGATCCATTTTTGAAGCGCATCATTACTGGGGACGAAAAATGGGTTGTATATAACAATGTCAAACGCAAGAGATCATGGAGAAAAAAAGATGAACCGGCTCAAAGGATTTCCAAAGTCAATATCCATCAAAAAAAGGTGATGCTGTCTGTTTGGTGGTATTTTAAAGGAATCGTTTTTTTTGAGATTTTACCGGATAACACAATAATTAATTCGGAAGTGTACTGTCATCAGCTGGACAAACTGAATGATGCACTTCAACAGAAAAGGCCAGAATTAATCAACAGAAAAGGTGTAGTGTTTCACCAAGATAATGCGAGACCTCATACAAGTTTGGTCTCTCGCCAAAAGCTTTTACAGCTTGAATGGGATACAATGCTACACCCACCATATTCTCCAGATTTGGCACCTTCGGATTATTATTTGTTCCGGTCACTGCAAAATTTTTTAGACGGTAAAACCTTCACTTCAAATGAGGAGGTCAAAAACCACCTCGATCAGTTTTTTGCCAGCAAAGACCAAAAATTTTGTGAGCGTGGAATCATGCTACTACCAAAAAAATGGTAAAAAGTATAGGACCAGAATAGCTAATATATAATTTAATAAAATATTTGTTTATTATACGAAAATTGTCTTTCATTTTCACAAAAAGAAACGAAATTACTTTCCGAACAACCCATTATATCCTTTTTAATCCTTTTTTTATTCTTAATTGGACGAGGTATTTACTTTTCACGTTTTGTTGAGCGTTTGCATACGAAAATCGACGAACCGAAATGTTACTTAAAACTACGAATCCGTTTCAGCCATGATATTTTTCCTATATAATTCAGTTCACTGATCGATTGGTAACAGTTTTTGAACTCGGGCATAGCATCTGTCAGAGTTATATCGATCTTTAGCTGTTGGATCGAGAATTCAACATGTCTGCGCGACAACACCAAATCTTCGTTGCAATTCAATTAATATTCTCGACAAAACGTTATATTCTTGTTGAAAAGAAGCGTCGAAAGAATTCCTTTGTTTGAGAATCGGATAAGATTTGAATTTTTCACGTTTTGATTATTGGTCGCGTTCGCGAAAATTGACGTATGTCGAATCGAAAGGTTGTTTAAAACCTCGAATCTGTTTCAGCCATTATATTCTTCCTATATAATTCAGTTCTCTGAATCGATTCTTAACATTTTCAGATTCCAACATGGAACAATTTCTGTTTTAGCTACTTCCATTCTTTCGTATCTGAGATCGGAATCGCACTTTTCTTCTATATTACGTCAATTTTCCGTTATAGTACGAATTATATCCTCGCAAGCATATTATACTATTGTTATTCTCTTTCAGCTGCTTTGATAAAATCCGTTTTCGAAGGAATCAGACGAGATTTAAACTTTTCTTGTTCTGAAGATGGACGTATAAGCGAGAATAGATATAAAACGTAACGAAATAATATCAAGAACCTTTAATCCGTTTGTAACTTATGTAATTTAGACTGCTAAATCGTTTGATTACGTTTCCAGAAGTATGGCCCAATTTCTGTCGGTCCAGAAGTGCACGTTTCTCCGATATTACGCCAATTCTCCATTGCAGTTCGAATTGTATCCTTCTAATCATATTATATTCATATTACTTTCTTTCAGCTTCATTGATAGAATCCGTTTTCGAAGGAATCAGACGAGATATCCTGTTTTCTTATTCTGATTATGGCCGGATAAGCGAGAGCAGACGTAACACATAAGAAAATAGTATCAAAAATAACCAATACGTTTCAATCCAGACCTTATGTAGTTCAGACTCTTGAATCGTTTGGGAACATTTCCAGAATAGTCAGATTTATTTCAATTCTTATCTTTCTGAGTTCATAATTTCACGTTTTTCTTATATTATGACCATTCTCTGCTGGATTATATCTTTTCAATCATGTCATATTCTTATTACTCTTTTTGAGCGATAGAATATATTTTGGGAGAAATCGGAAGAGATTTCAATTTTTCAATCTTTCATAAGCGAAAATAGACGTATAACATAATGAAAAGTTATAAAAAACTATACATTCGGTTCAACCGAGGCATGTTTCTTATGTAGTTCTGTCTGCTGAATCGTTCGGTAAAATTTAAAATAGTGTTTTACAACATCTGTCGGAATTATTTCGATTTTTGGCTATGTGAGCACAGAATCGCACGTTTCTTCGATGCACTAGTACGCTAATTCTCCCTTGCAGGTCGAATTATATCCTAGCAAGCATGATTTTTTCATGTTACTTTTTTCCAGCTGCTTCGATTCGTTTTCGAAGGATTCAGATGAGATTTCAAATTTCGAGTTCTAACGATGGTCGTATACGGGTGAAAAGGCGAAGAACTTAATAAAATGACATCAAAAACCTCGAATCCGTTTATGATCCATACCTTTATTTAGATTTATACCAATCTGTATCAAGAATTGCACGTTTCTCTGATACTATGCCAACTTCCCGTTGCTGTTCGAAATGAATCCTCGGAAGAAAGTTGTATTCTTGTTACTCTCTTTATATTGCATTGATAGAATCCTTTTTCAGATGAAGCGATTTCAACTTTTCATGTTGAACATCGAAATCGATTATCGCGATAGTTAATTCTTATATAATGCAGTCTGCTGAATCGTTTGGTAACATTTTCTAAATTGTAGCACAACTTCTTTCGAAGCTATACCGATTCTTATCTATCTGTGTCAAGAATTACATGTTTCTATCATATTACACGCCAATTCTCCGTTGTTGTTCGAAATGCATCTTTCCAAGTACGTTATGTTTTGGTTACTCTCTTTATTCTTCATCGGTAGAATACGTTTTCGAAGGAATCGGAAGAGATTTTAAAGTTTCTTGTTTACAAAAACCTCCAATCAGATTAAATCGACGATCTTCTTTTATATAACGCATTCTGCTTAATCTTTATGTAAAATTTTCTGAACTGTTGCTCTAATTCTATAGGATTTACTTCGTTCCTTATTTTTCCGTTTCTGATTATATATTAATGATATTTAATATGATTAATGACATTATAATGATTATATATAATTCGTTTTACTGAAACTATACACTAATTCCCCGTTGCTGTTCGTATTGTATCCACGTTGGCACATTATATTCTTGTTACCCTCTTTAATCTGCGTTGATAGAGTCCGTTTTGAAACGAATAGGAAGAGAAATTATTTTTTCATGTTTCAACGATGGCCATGTTAGAAGAAACGTAAAATATGAAGAAATGGTCTCAGAAAGCTCGAATCTGATTAGAACAAGACGAGATTCTTATGTAAAACAATATGCCGAATAGTTTAGAATCATTTTTTGAATTGTGGCATAACTTCTTTTCGAGTAATTTTGTTTTATATCTGTCTTCGCACGTTTTTCTGATTTTAGATGCAATTCTCTGTTATTGTTCGAATTGAATCCTTGTATACACAATATTTTCTTGTTATTCTTTTTATTCTGCGTCGATAGAATCCATTTTCAAACAAATTGGACGAAATTTCAAATTTTTATGAACTGATGATGGCCACATTCGTGCGATGAAGATCTAGGGAAAAGATATTGTCACGTTGCCGTGTGACTCATCCTAGAATAATATAAAGCCATAGGATTAAGGTATCTTTTAATCATAGACAGTATTTTATATAATACCTTTTATATATATATATATATATATATATATATATATATATATATATATAATATTCATAATACGTTCCTTGTAAGTTTCACATGAGGGTTTTATATTTAGACTTTTACGGGCAATATACCTTTTACTTTATTCTAAGGTATACATGTATATATAGTTTTATGTTCGGTATTATAAAATTATGCTAGTTAATAATTACAGTTTTGGGCGATATCATTTACAACTACACTTTAATTAACCTTTTATATTATATCACAATAGTTACGTTAGTTTATCAAATATCCTAATACCCTAATCTACTTTATTTACTCAATATATCGATTAGTATGTAGCTACGTGGAACGTAATACCATCATTAATGTTGTTATTTCCCTAGATTATATTAATAAAATTCTTTATATTTAGTTATATTGTCTTTTGCGGGGTATATTAATGGGATGCACTCCACCAGGACTATTGTCGGTTATCATTTCGTCGGTAAAATACAATCAATAAACTGTTGGTAATGCCATCACGGATAAACGCAGATTGTTGGTTATAATTAAACGTAGGTAACAACTACAAGTCGGTAACCTTACTTGTCTGTAATTAATGATAAAAAATAAATAATATTCGCAACCAGTAATTTTAACATTATCACGTAACCAATATCAATTTAACATAATTACCAACTTCATCTTTTTTTTTTTATATATAACAACAATAGTCATAACCAATAACCTTAGCAATAATTGATGGCAAATTTTATAATTCGCAAATTAATAGATAATAGATAACCAACGCATTATAGATTTTTACAAACAATAAAATAACTACATAGTCATATAACAATTAATTAACAAAGTTCCGTATAAATACCATTAATTTTATATTGCATTATATATTTTTTTGTAATTATTATACTATCATAATCTTTGTTATAACAAGTCCTGTAATTCTAAGCACTTCTATTACAAGTGTCTAGACTGCATCCGGCGATAAGCACATGTCAATCTCGAGCTCCCGACGAACGAGCCGATGATTCATGGACAAGTGCATGCAGTAAGTGTACGCCCGCAATTCGTGCGCAAGCCGCGCCTGAACATTGACTTATCTTGGGGCTCCTCACCGCCGCTTCGACCGGATATGTATTAGATGCGAAACTAATTTATACATTCTTTCCAAAATCAACTAGTTTTTCTAGTTGCTAACGAAGTGTACTAAAGGTGTATTTTAATTTTATTCTAGTGTTTAAATAAATTGTTATTCTTGTTAATTAAATGTGGTATTTAATGAAGACGTAAGCATTTCCCCCATATTACTCACATTCATTTTCTGTCCCTACTTACCAGACTTTCCAATGCAGGCAGACTCATGGCAAGAGATATCCAATAGAGTGATCATACAGGATCGTCGTGAGACGTTTCAGACGTAAACAGGAATTAGTTCCATGGATAAACACCTAATAGTGAATACACCAATCATTGCATCCAATAAGGTAAGATCTAAAAGAAACAAATTTCTTGAGGGAGGTAGATGTCGTCAGGAGTGAAATAAAAGGGCCTCATCTTGAGTAAAGTTCTATACCAACCAAAACGAGGCACGTGACTTGATCGGAGTAAATCAAGAGAGACGGTAAGTTACCGAGATCTACTTTATTTTTGATCGAGACCCTATCCGTGACTTCACCCTATCAACGTATTCTACCGACGCAGAATAATGACAGTAACAATAAAATATAGTCCATACAAGGATACAATACAAACTACATCGAAGTATTATCGCGTAATATCTGATAAACTTGTTATTCTCGACGAAAATAGGTAAAAAAAGGTATAAATCATGTAGAAGTTGTGCCGAAGTTCGTAAAAAGTTACCAAGCGATTAATCACAGAGCGGAATACAAGAATCACTCTTAGTTTTAAACAGATTCGATGTTTGTTTTATCATTTTTTTATTTTTTATGCCTCTTCGCCCGTTTACATCAATCGTCAATATATGAATAGTGAAAATCTTGTCCGAATACTATAAAAACGTATTCTGTCGATTTAGAATAAAGAGAGTAACAAGAAAACATTTTGGATATGAGCATACAGTACGTACAGCATCGGAGAATTTATTTGTAATATCAGAGAAACTTGCGATTTTCGACACAGATATTTAAGAAACCAAATAATTCGAGAAGATGTTGTGTTACAGTTCAGAAAATATTACCAAACATTTCAACAGAACAGTTACATTTGAATGGTATCGAGGTTTTTAAATTATTTCGTTTCGTTTTACGCCTCTTCGTCCGTATACGTCCATCATTATAACAAGAAATGTTGAACTCTCTTCCCATTCCATTAAAAACGGATATTATTGACACAGAGTAAAAATAGTAACAAGAAAATAAATTGGATGCGAGGGTACAATAGGGTCAGCAACGGAGATTTTGTATGTTATAACAGAGAAACTTGCAATTCTCGACACAGATAGATATGAAACCGTATAACTCGAAATAAAGTTGTGCCACAGATCAGAAAATATTTCCAAACGTTTCAGCAGACTATGTTACATAAGAATTAAGCCACATTTTTAACGGATTCAATGTTTCAGATATTATTTCCTTTTACTATTCGCTCTTTTGCTCGTCAGAACGTGAGAAGTAGTCATTTAGTCAGATTTTTTTGAAAACTTATTCTATCGACGCAGAATAATGAAAGTAATTATAAATTAAAGTGCATGCGAGGATACTATACGAATGGCAAAAGAGAATTAGCTTGAAATATTAGGGAAATGTGAGATTCTTGCCAAAGAAAGATAAGAAACAAAATAACTCGAAAAGAAATTACGTCAGAGTTCAGAAAATGTTTCTGAACTATTCAGCAGATTGACTTACATAAAAATCTCGTCTTGTTTTAAATAGATTCGATGTTTATGAAACCATTTTTTTACGTTTTACGTTTCTTCTCACGGATGCGACCATCGTCGGAACATGAAAAGATGATATCCCGTTGTTTGAAAATGAGTTCTATCTACGCAGAATAAAGTGAGTAACAAGAAAATAAAGTGCATGCAAGTATACAATAGGAACAGCAACAGAGAATTAGCATGAAATATCAGAGAGAATTGAGACTTTCGACACAGATAGATATGAAACCTAATAACTCGAAAAGAAGTTTTGCCTAATAGCTTGAAAAAAATATTTCCAAACATTTCAGCATACAATGTCAGATAAGAATCAAGTTTTATTTTAAACAGATTCGAAGTTTTTTTTAAATCATTTCTTTGTTTTTCTGCTCTTTGCCCGTTGCGACCAACGCCACGTCCTCGATACGCCAATCATTGTATCAAGGAAGCTGAAATCTTTTCTGATCCCAATTAAAACTGATTTTATCGACGCTGTATATAGTAAGTAATACGGAAATAAAGTGCATACGAGGATACAATACAAACAGCATTGCTGAATTAAAGCGTAATATCAGAGAAATATGCGATTCTCGACACAGATAGATAAAAAATGATATAAATCCTATAGAATTTCTGGCCCCGTTAGGAAAATTTTATCAATCGATTAAGAAAATAGTAGAACGTAAGTATTAAACTTTGTTCAAAACGGATTCGAGGTTTGAGATACCAGTTCGTTACGCTTTATGTCTCTTCTCCCATATACGTCCATCGTCGAAACATGAAAAGTGGAAATCTTGTCCTATTCTATTGAAAATATATGTTATTTATGCAGAATAAAGAGAGTAACGTGAAAATAAAGTGTATACGAGGATATAATACGAAAAGCATCGGAGTATTATCGCTTAATGTCAGATATACTTATTATTCTAACGCAGATATGTAAAAAACGATATAAAACCTATAGAAGTTGATTGATAGTTCAGAAAATGTTACCAAACAATTAAGTAGGGAGCGAAACATAAGAATGAATCTTCTTTTTAAACGGATTCGTAGTTTGTGATATCATTTCGTTATATTATATGTCTCCTCAAACGTATACGAACACGGTCAAAACATGAAAAATTATGATCTCTTCCGATTCCATTGAAAACGTTTTCTATCGACGTAGAATAAGGAGAGTAACAAGAAAATAAAGTGAATGCGAGAATACAATAAGAAAAGCACCCATAGAATTATCGCGTTATATCAGAAAAACGTGTGATTCTCGACACAAATAGGTATAAAACGATGAAAATCCTATAGAAGTTGTGCCTTCTATAGGAATTCAGAAAATGTTACTGAACGATTCATTAAATTGTATTACATAAGAATTAAGACTCGTTTTAAACGGATACAAGGTTTTTGATAACATTTTGCTACGTTTTACACTTCTTTGCTCATATACGCCGATTATTGAAACAAGAAAAGTTTCAATAATTCTTTTGGAAAAATTGGATTTTATCGTTGCAAAATAAAGAGAATAACAAGAATGTAAGGTGCACGCGAGAATACCATACGAACTGCATCAGAAAATCGTTGTATAATATTAGATAAGCATATGAATCTTGACACGGATTGGTAAAAAATGATTTAAATCGTTAGAAGTTGTGCAACAATTCAGAAAATATTATCAAATAGTTGAGCAGCCAGCGGAACATAAGACTTCGTTTTAATAGAATTCAAAGTTTCTGTTCGCATTTCGCTACGTTTTATGCGGCATTCATCGGAACATGAAAAGCTGAAATCTCATCCGATTCGCATGAAAATTGACCGAGACGCAGAATAAAGAAAGCATGAAGAAATTAAAGCTTTGTGAAACGACAATACAAGCAGCATCGGTTAATTAGAGCGTAATATCAAATAAACGTATGAATCTCGACAATGAAATAAAAAACGATATAAATCCTCAAAAGTTTTCCAGCAGTTCAGAAAATGTTACAAACGATTAAGCAGACAGCGGAACATAATTATGAAGCTTCTTTTTAAACGGATCATAGGTTTGTAATATTATTTTGTTAAGTCTCTTCGCTGATATACGTTCATTGTCGAAACATGTTAAGTGGAAATCTTGTCCGATTACATTAAATCTATCGACGAGGATAAATAGAGTGACAGGAAAATAAAGTACATGCGAGGATAAAATACGAATAGCATCTGAGAATTATCGCGTAATATCAAATAAACACGTGGTTTGCGAAACAGATAGATAAAGAAAGATATAAATCTTTAGATGGTGTGCCACAGTACAGAAAATGTTTCCAAACATTTAAGCAGAGTACGAAAAATATGGATCAAGCATTGTTTTAAGCGGATTTGAAGATTGTGATAATATTTCGCTACGCTTTATTCATTTTCGTACGTTTACGCCCATCGTCGATATTTGAAAAGTGAAAAACGTATCCTCTTCCTTTAAAAGCGGATTCCAATGACCCAAGATAAAGAGAGTAACAAAAAAATAAAGTACTTGCGAGGAATTAATATGAACAGCATCGGTGAACTATCGCGTAATATCAGATAAACTTGTGATAAACGACACAGATTTGTAAAAAACGATATAAATCCTAGAAGATGTGCCATCTTTCAAAAATGTGATCAAAAGCTTCAGCAGACTGAGCCACATTAGAATTAAGTCTCTTTTTAAATGGAATCGAGCGTTTTAGAAACATTTCCTTTCGTTTTACGTCTCTTGGCACGAGTACAAATATCGTTGAAACATGAAAAGCTAAAATCTATTTCGATTCAATTGAAAATGGATAATATCAACGCGGAATAAAGTGCATAAGAAGAAAATAAAGTGAATAAGAGTAGTTAATATGAAAAGCATAAGAGAATTAGGGTAAAATAGTAGAATAACGTGTGATTCTCGACACAGGGACATAAGAAATCAAATAACTCGAAAAATAATTGTACCACAGTTCAGAAAAGTTTATTAACCCTTTCATCAGATTGCATTACTTAAAAATCAAGTCTCATTTACACTCATACGTGGTTTCTGAAATCATTTGATAAAGTCAATCGCCCCTTCGCCCGGAATGCCCTTCGACGGAACGAGAGAAGTTGTAATCTCGTCCAATTTCTTTGAAAACAGATTCCATCGACGCAGAATAAGGAGAGTAACAATAAAATAAAATGAATGGGGAGATACAATACGAACAGCACCGAAGAATTATCGCGTATTATAAAAAAAACATGTGATTCTCAACACTGATAGATATAAAATGATCTAAACCCTATAGAAATCGTGCCAACGTTAAGAAAATGTTACCAAAGCGTTATATAAGAATCAAGCCTTGTTTGAACGCATTCATGGTTTCTGCTTTCAATTCGTTACTTTTTACGCTTTTTCTTATGTATGCTGCCATTGTCGAGATGTGAAAAGTTGAAATCGCGATCGCTTCGTTTGAAGAATGATTTTACCCAAGCAGAATAAAGAACGTAACAAGAAAATAAAGTGCATGCAAGGATATAATACGAGCAGAAACGGAGAATTAGAGTATAATATGAGAACGATACTCGGTATAGAATGGTAAGAAACGAAATAATTTGCAAGCTAGATGTGTCGCAGTTTAAAAAAGGTTACTAAGCGATACATCAAACTGCATTACATAAGAATCAGATCTCGATTATAACGGAATTGTGGTTTTTTAAATAACTACGTTCGCCTCAGTTTTACATCTCTTCGCCCGTATACCATCGTCGGAAAGTGAAAAGTTGTAATCTCGTCGATTCCTTTGAAAACGTTTTCTATCGACTCAGAGAAAGAGAATAACAAGAAAATAATGTGTATACAGTACGAATAAAAATGGAGAAAGTGCATTAAATATCACAGAAACGCACGAAGCTTGACACATGTGTATTAGAAACCAAATAACTAGAAAAGAAGTTATGCCAACATTCAGAAAATGTTTTCACACGTTTTAGCAGACTGTGTTAAATATAAATCAAGGTTTATTTTAAACGGATTTAAGGATTTAAAAATCATATCGTTAAGTTTTTCGCTTCTTAGTCCTTATAAAAACTTTATAGTTATAAGAAAAAATAAAATTCCTTCTGATTCCTTTGAAAATGGTTTATATCGACGCAAAATAATTAGAGTAACGCGAAATAAAAGTGCAGGTGAAGATACAATACTAACAGCATCGGAAAATTAGGAAGTAATGACAGAAACGGGAAACTCTCGGCACAGATAGATCAAAAACATTATAATTCCTATAGAATTTGTGCAATCGTTCAGAAAATGTTATCAATCGTTTTAGCAGACTGCGTTACATAAGAATAAAGTCTCGTTTTAAACGGTTTAAAGTTTCTATATCACTTCGCTACGTTTTACGTTTCATCGCACGTTTTCGGCCATTGTCGCAACATGAAATTTTGAATCACTTCCAATTTGCTTGAAAATGCCTATATTTATGCAGAGCAAAGAGTGTAATATGAAAATATAGTACATCTGATGATACAATACAAAAAGGACCTGAGAATTATCGCGTAATATCAAAGAAACGTAAGATTTACGATAAACAGAGAAAAGAAATAAAATAACTTGAAAAGAAGTAGTGTAACAATTCATAAAATTTTACCAAATGTTTCAACAGACTGCGTTATATTAGAATCAAAGCTTGTTTTAATAATTCAAAGTTTCTTGTACCATTTCGTTCCGTTTTCATGTATGCGGCAATTCTCGAAACATGAAAAGAAGAAATCTCATTCGATTCGTTTGAAAACATAATCTATTGACGCAGAATAAAAAAAGTAACAAGAATATAATGTGCATGCGAAGATATAATTCTAACAACAACGGAGAATTAGCAGGTAATGTCAGAAAAACGTACGTTTTACGACAAAGAAAGATAAGAAACTAAATAATTCGAAAAAAAGTTGTGTCAGAGTTTAGAAATTGTTTCCGAACGATTCAGCAAACTGCATTACATAAAAATGAAGTGTTGTTTAATCGTTTGCGGTCGTATGTTTGCTTTCAGCCACCAAAACTTTCTTACTGTTCCGATCGTATGCTTGCTCTCAGCCACCATAGCAAAGAACCATACTAATCTTACATTGTATTCATCCATGTATCAATTTATACTTTCTCTAAATGAAACTGAATGTCTGAAGAAGTTATTTACGAACCAATACGGTGCTCATTTAAATTGTTAACAAAAAACTCAGTTTAAACAAATGGTATCACTTCTTACTCACTATGCAAGACGCCGTGGCAAGTCAGATGCCTCTCGTGCATGAAGAAATCGACAAGCTTCGGATATACTTCGTAGAATTTCAAATAATATTTTACAAATTGTGTTTAACTGTAATTAATGTAATTAGCCATTCTCGCTTCTTAAGATATTTTAAAAATAATACTCCAAAATGGCAAAAAGAAAATTACCGAAAGAAGTGTATCATGAAACTGAAAATAGCGATGAAGAGTTTTCTTTTGACTTCTTAAATACTGACTCTGATATAGAAAGTGATAACGTTAGTACTGATTCTGATAGTGAAATAGTTCCATTAAAGCGATGAGTGAGACAAATAGTAATATCCAGCGACAGTGAAGTAGAAGAAAATGATGAAAATGAGAATAGTAGTATAAATGAATTTACTACCTGCAGAGACGTTACGCACAAAGATCAAAAATCGCCACAATCAAAAATTAATTTTTCAACGGGATCTAAAATTGTTGGACCTAATGTACTTATACATTGCACGGAATCTATCGACTTTTTCAGACTCTTTTTCACAGATATACTGCTTGAAAAAATAGTATTAAAAACAAATAAATATGCAAAAAATAAAATAGAACAGCAGAACTTATCTAATCGATCAACAAGGAACAACTGCGTCGATGTGACGAAAGAAGAATTAACAGCTTTTGTGGGCGTAATCCTTAACATGGGCATTATATCAATTCCTAATATGAAATGTTATTGGACTAAGGAACATGCTGGAAACATACCATTTTTTGGAAATATATTTCGAAGGGAAAGATTTCTTTAAATATTTTGGATGTTACATTTGAATGAAAATGTTTCCAGAAATCCAAATATAACGATAAGAATTCAAAAAGTGAGTAAATTTAAGAGCAAAGTTAATTTTTTTACATACAATCCCCAAAAGCCCACCAAATGGGGAATACGTATTTATGTGTTATCAGACGCACATACTGAGTACATATATGCTATGCTTTCCTACTACGGAAGCGTTAGTACAGAATGTTTCATTTGTCCGAATCTCCCTGTCAGTTCAAGGATTATTTTTCAGCTATATCACAAGCTCTTGAACGCAAATCCTGAGGTAAAGGGATATCATATTTTTACAGATAGATATTTTACAGGGATCCCATTAGCGCAGGAGCTTTTATAACTAAGCTGCTATTTAACTGGTATACTTAAAACAAACAGAAAATATATACTAGCTGTGATTAAAAAACCAGCTGTAACGAAAAATAATACTGTTGCTGCCTTTCGATCAGGTGATATTCTATTATTAGCGTGGAAAGATAAGAGAATAGTCACCGTATTAAGCAGCTACGATACCTCGGACACGAAAGCTGTAGAAAGAAGAATGAAAGAAGATGACACCGTCACCATTAGCAAGCCATATGTTATTATAAATTACAATATGAATATGAGAGGTGTTGATAAGGCCGACCAATTAGCAGGTTCATATTGTTTTATGAGAAAATATTGAAAATGGTGGAGAAAAATGTTTTTCTGGTTTTAAATGTTTTTCTTGGATTAGAAGTTTGCACAATCAATAGCTACATTTTATATAAAGTGTCAGCTAGAAAAGAAAATAAGACGTGTATGTCACATTGTATCTTTGTCCGAAAATTGGTGGAATAACTTGTAGGTGATTTTTGTGACGGAGCATCTTCAAAATTAGGAAGACCATCGTCCTTAGATAAAGAGGAAAGGCTTAATGGCAAACTATATATATTGTGGCACTGTCAAAGCATAAAAACTAATTCAAACAGCAAAATCTAAGAAGACGCCAAACTAATTATTTTTGTGACCCGTGTAGTCGAAAACTAGGACATCATGTTGGAGACTGTTTTGAAAGATTACACATATTATTGTATAAATATATATCTAAAGTTTTTTTATCCTTCATAATTTTGAATATTATATGTCACTGCTCGTTCAACGGAAATTAATTCCGACCAGTACCATGTCTAAAGTAAATACGACTGCAAAGAGTTAAAACTGATTCAAGGGTTTTGAATAATTTCGTTAAATTTTTCACCTCCTTGCCCACCTACGTACTTCGTAGTCATTAGATGAGTAGAAATCTCCTCTGATACTTTTCAAAGCTGATTCTATCAGATAACATCCGATTCTCTACATAGACCGGTAAAAAATGACATAAATCCTATAAAAGTTGTGCCATCGTTCAGAAATGGACACTAATTCATATCTAATTCATCCGACTGCATTACATAAGAACCAAGAGTCGTTTTAAACAGATTTAAGATTTCTGATTTTATTTCGTTACATTTTACGCTTCTTCGCACATATACGCCTATTGCTATAACAGGAAAAATTGAAATCTCTTCCGATTACTTTGAAAACAAATTCAATCGACGCAGAATAAAGACAATAAGAAGAAAATAAACTGCATGCGAAGATGATATTCGAACAACAACGGAGAATTTTCATGTAATTTCAGAGAAACGTGCGATTGTCGACATAGGTAAATAAGAAAACAAATAATCCAAAGAAAAGGTATGCCACAGTTCTGAAGATGTTTCGAAATGATTCAGTAATGTGCTTTACTTAAGTTTCAAGTCTTGTTTAAAATGGATTCGATGTTTTTGAAATCAATTTGTTAAGTTTTTTGCCTCTTCACCTGAATATTTTATTCAGGTGAAGAGGCAAAAACTATTTTAACAAGAAAAGCTGAAATCTCTTCCGATTCCTTTGAAGACGGATTCTTTAGAGCCAGAAGAAAGAGAGTAACAGGAAAATAAAGTATATGCTTAGGTACAACGTATTGAAATGCATTCATAAACAACATCGGTGAATTAACAGGAATTGTCAAAGAAACGTGCGATTCACACAGATAGATAAAAACAATATTAATCCTGTAGAAGCTGTAGAAGTCACTATTCAGAAAACGTTACCAAATGATTAAACAAACAGCGTTACGTAAGAATTAAGTCCCGTTTTATATGGAATCAATGTTTCTCATATTATTTCGTTTCAATGTACGCATCTTCTCGCATATAGGTCTATCATTGTGAAAAGAAAAGATGAAATCTTTTCCTGTTTCCATAAAAACGGGTTCTATCGACGCAGAATAAAGAAAGCAACAAGAAAAAAAATGCATGCAAGGATACAATACGAACAGCATCATAGAATTATCGCGTAATATCAGATAAACGTGTGGTTCGTGACATATATAGATAAAGAACGATATAAATTCTATAGATGTTGTACCATAGTTCAGAAAATGCTGCCAAACATTTAATTGGAGAGCGGCAGGTAAGAACCAAGCATCGTTTTAAGCGGATTCGAAGATTGTGAAATCTTTTCGATACGCTTTACTCATTTTTGCACGTACACCCCACAACGAAACATTAAAAGTGGAAATCCGATACCTTTGAAAATGTTTCCTTTCAACTTAGGATAAATAGAATAATCAGAAAATAAAGTAGATGAGAGGACATAATAAGAACAGCATTGGAGAATCGGCGCATAATATCAGAAAAACGTGCGATTCTCGACACAAATAGATAAGAAACCAAATAATTCGAAAAAAAGTTTTGCCACAGTTCAGAAAATGTTAGCAAACGATTAAGCAGACAGCGGAACAAAATAATCAAGATTCGTAATAAACGAATTCAAGGTATCGGTTATCGTTTCGTTACGCTTGACGACTCTTTGTTCATATACGCCCATCGTTGAAACATGAAAAGATGAAATCTCTTCCGATTCAATTGAAAATGGATTCTTTCGAAACAGAATAAAGAGAGTAACAAGAAAATAAAATGCATTCGAGGATACAAGACGAATAGTATAGGAGTATTATCGCGTAATATCAGAAAACCTTGTGATTACGACACAGATTCGTAAAAAACGATATAAATCTTGTAGAAGTTCTATCACCGTTCAAAAAATATTACCAAGCCTTTTAGCAGCCTGCGTTACATAAGAATTCGTTTTAATCGGATTCAAGGTTTGTGTTACAATTTCCTTATGTTTTATGTTTGTTTTCACTTATGCGCCCATCTTCGGAACATGAAAAGATGATATCTCGTCCAATTCATCCAAAAACGGATTTCATCGATGCAAAATAAAGAGAGTAAAATGAAAATAAAGTTTATGCAAAAATACAATACGAATAACATTCGAAAATCACCATGTAATATCAGATAAACCTATGAATCTCATCACTGAAAATAAATACTTTTATAGTATATCGATTAATATGCAGCCACTTTAAAAAGCTAATACCATCAGTAATGTAGTTATTTTCTTAGATTATATTAATAAAACTCTGTTCCGTTATATCAACGAGGTATATTGACGAGGTGAATTTTACCAGGATTATTCAGCCCTTCGGTAATCGACTGTATCGCTTACATTGTACATTAATTTATGTTTAATCCTAATATTTAATCTTTATAAAAGCGTTATATTCTTGTAATATTCCTTTTTTTGTGTCGATAGAAAACGATATTTAAGGAATAGGAAGAGACTTCAACTTTTCATATATCGACGATATCCGTATCCGCACGAAAAATGGTATAACGTAATGAAACAATGTTAAAAACTATTCTATTTAAAGCATTAATTTGATGTTATGTAATGCAGTGCGCTGAATCGTTTGGTAAGATACTTCGAATTGTTCACGTTCCTTTGAAGGTTTTGCGATTATTAGTTATCGTTGTCGATCTTCGCAAGCCTTGGTAACATTATACAAGAATTTTTCGTTCGTCCACGTATTTAATCTTCGTAAGAACGTTATAATCTTTTTATTTTGTTTATTCTGTGTCGATAGAATACAATATCTAAGGAATCGGAAGGGATATCAACTTTTCGAATTTCGACGATATCCGTACTGGCACGAAAAATAGTATAACGTAATGAAATAATGATAAAAATCACGATTCCGTTAAAACAGTAGTGTCATCTTATGTAATATAATGTGCTGAATCAATGGGTAACATTCTCTAAACTGTGATGCAAGTAATTTAGAAAATTTCATGATTTTTAATCATCTGTATCGAAATTTGCAATTTCGCTTACAATATACGACAACTTATTGTTATTTCAATCATCGTAAAAACCTTATATTCTTGTTATATTCTTTATTCTGCATCGATAGTATATGATATCTAAGGAATTGGAAGTCTTCAACTTTTCGTATTTCGGCGACAAGTGTATATTCACGACAAATCGTAAAACCAAAGGAAATAATATTAAAAACCACGATTTCGTTTAAAACAGTAGTTTAATTCTATGTAATGCAGTATCTTGAATCGATTGGTAACATTCTCCAAACTATGGTACAAGTACATTCGAAGATTTTACAATTTTTACACATTTGTAGCGATATTCAAATATTTCGCTTGCATTATCTTTCAATTTATCGTTAATCCATGTATTTAATCTTCGGAAAATGTTTTATTCCTGTAATATTCCATACTCTGCAACGATTGAATGCGATATCTGAGAAATTGAAAGAGTTTAAACTTATCTTATTTCGTAGCTTATACGCACGAAAAATCGTATAATGTAAAGAATTAAGGTTAAAAACCACGGCTCCGTTTAAAGTAGTAGCTAGATCTTATGTAATACAATGTGCTGAATTGATTAATATCATTCTCCAAATTGTTGAGCAAGTTAGTTTGAAGATATTACGATTATTACACATCTGTGTTGAAATTAGTATAATCTGGATATATTATGCGACAATTTATTGTTAATCCTCATATTTAATCTTCGTAAAAAAGTTATGCTCTTATGAAATTCTTTATTCTACGTTTATAGTATACCATATCTAAGGAATTAAAGCGTTCACAACTTCTCGTACTTCGACAATAAGTGTAAACGCACGAAAAATCGTATAACATAAGGAAATAATGTTAAATAATAGTAATAACTACAATAACGATAATAATAATAATAAAAATAATAAAAATAAAACTAAAAATAAAAATATTATAAATTTCAATAACGATAATAATGATAATAAAAATAACAACAATGAAAATTACAATAATAAAGATAATAATAACTATAACATCGATAGTAACCATAATATTAATAAAAATAATAACAATAACAATAATAATAACAATAATAACGATAATAACATTAATAACGATGATAGTTTTTTTTTCTTTCTTTTTTTTTGATGGTCTGAGAATGCCAATCTTTACGCACTAACCCAGGGACCCGCCCGCCAGAGGAACCTTTCACCAATTGGGTCCCCCATTAAAGTCCCTGGAGTGTCGGGCTCACCGTTGGAATAGGCACTACCGACTAAACTCATATCTATCCTAGTGGCATAGTGAAACCATACCGGTACGGGCATGTGGCATTACTTCGGGATGGTGCCACTGCATCAGGTCCCTTAACGGGACTCTCCCTTCGACTCTACGTGGCAGGAATCTGGAGCAACGTTGATGCCGCGTCTATGGGCCGCCCATCTCCTTCTTCTTTCTGCGTAAGATGCCCCGTACCAGGCAAACTTGTTCCACTCCTCCTGACCTCGGAGTATTTTCTCGACAACGTTGTTTGACAAGATATCTCCGAGGTCCAGCTCCAAGGCGAGTCGTTCGGCACTCCACCGGGTACATCTGAAGAACGTGTGGTGGGCGTCATCGTTGGTCGAGTCCCCATAGGGGCAGTTGCCGTCTGCTATCTTCCTCATTTTTGCGAGGTAGGAGCAGAACAGGCCATGCCCTGTCAAAAATTGTGTGAGGTAGAAGTCGATCTATATCGTCTCACATTTAGCCAGTAGTCTAGCCGACTGATGAGTGGGGCAGTCCATTTGCCCCAGGTTCCTGTACCCATCTGCTTTGCCAGGCCTCGATGCTGCTAGACCTGGCGAGCCTTGATGCCTCCTCCTTTCCCAGAACACACCTTTGCTGGTGGACGAATTGTCTCTCCTGGGCTAGTAGATCGATCGGGATTACCCCCGCGACCACTAGCACCGCGGGCTCAGAGACCGTGCGGTAGGAGCACGCGATTCGGAGAGCACCCCTCCTCTGTACGGCGGCTATGCGCTTGCGATATTTTTCCTTTTGCAGCGTCTCGGCCCAGACTTCAGCGCCGTACAGCATCACTGTTTCGGCGGCACGCATCAGTAGTCGCCTCCTGCACGGTCGGGGCCCGTTGACGTTTGCCATGAGTGTGCCAAGCGAGGCTACTACTTTTGCCGTCTTGTCGGCTGCCCTGAGTATGTGCTCGCCATAATTAAGGTTTTTGTCGAGCATTATACCCAGATATTTGACAGCCGACTTAGCCTGGACCGCCGTGTCTCCTACAATGAAGCTGCACAAGGTGTTGATGCGCTTCTTCGTAAGTAGCACGATCTCTGTCTTCTAGGCTGCCAGAGATAGCACGTGGTCTTCCATCCAGGAGATGACTCTGCGCATGACCTGGTTGAGCAGCAGCTGTGCCCCCTACGTGTCTCTTGCGGTTATGACAACTGCAAGGGCATCTGCGTACCCAACCAAGAAAGCGCCTTCAGGGACTGCCATACGTAGGATACCGTCGTAGAAAATATTCCAGATATCCGGTCCCAGTATGGAGCCCTGGGCTGCCCCCGATGTTAACTCCAAGCTTCAAGGACCATTGCCAGTACTGTATTCTAGGAAGCGCTCGTTCAGATAGTCCCCGAGTATTCGGAGTAGGTACTCGGGGACACTGAAATTACGTTCAAGCGCTTCCATTGCCAAGTCCCACCTGACGGAGTTGAAGGCATTTCTCACGTCTAAGGTGGCCAGCAGACACAAAGGGCGAGTTAGATGGTTCCCTCGCTCCATCATTTTAGCGGCCGTGACGACCTCCTGGACTGCCTGGATGGTGGAGAGGCCGGATCGGAATCCATATTGGCGGGCAGCAAGATCCCCCGCTGCCCTTAAGGCTGCGTGAAGCCGTGGCCTAAGCAGCTTTTCCAGGAGCTTGCCAGCTGTATCGAGCATATAAATAGGCCTGTATGACGAAGCGGCATCTGCTGGACCCTTGCCTCGCTTATGAGCACCAGTCTGGCTTTCTTCCACTGGGCGGGGAAGATGCCCTCCCTGAGACACATGTTGTACATGTTTAGCAAGAGCTTGGGATGACTCTGGGCGACGGCTTTTATTACTTCCACTGGAAGGCCGTCTAGTCCTGAAGCTTTCTTGTTCCGCATGGAAGATGCGGCCTTGAGTAGCTCCTCCTTTGTAAATTGCGGCCCTTCAGGGCTACCAGGCGTCGCCGTGCGAATCTCTCTCTTCGGATGTGAAGGGAATAGGGTATGAATGATGTTTTCCAACGTCCTCGCATCCTGAGGGATTCCTTGCGTGTTAGTCCCCAGTTTGATAGTGACGATCTGATACCCTAATCCCCACGGATTCTGGTCGACATCCAGGCACAGCTCCTTCCAGCACCGTCGTTGACTGGCCTTGATGGTCCTCTTCAGGGCTTTCATGGCCGCTTGATAGTCTGCGGCCAAAGGAGCAGCGTCGTGGTCGCTTCTCTTCGCTCGTTGTGCTAAACGGCGTAGCCTTAAGCACTTCTTACGAAGATCTGCGATCTCATTCGTCCACCAGTATACAGGGCGCCTCTGCCATTTCGTGCCATTCTTTGGCACCGCTATCGCGCAAGCCTTTTGGATGAGCTGCATGGTTGCTGCGCTAATCAACCTGGCTTGTGTGGGTGGCGACAGACTCGCGGAAGTACTTTGTTGGGATCTCCATCCTTCCTCTATGACCGAAGACAGCCTCTCTCGATCCATTCTCGCAATGTTCCACCGGGGGGGTCGCTTTACACTTGTCACGGCTGGCTTCCTATCATGTACATCGAATAGGATGTACTGATGATCGCTCCCGGTATAATCCTCGATCACCTGCCAGCCTGTGACTCTTGCCACAAGGTGTTCGTTGGCTAGAGAGACATCCGGGATCGTCTCTCTGTAGCCAGGCCTGTGGAAGGTTGACGTCGAACCTGTGTTGAGTACTGATAGCTCCAGTCTCGACGCCACCTCCATGATACGTCTTCCTCTGGAGTCCGGCCTGGCCTCCCCCCATTCGAGAGCTTTGGCATTGAGGTCTCCAGCCACAATGAGATCCCCTTGCATTTTCCGCAGCGCGTCTTCCAGATCGTCCAATTTGATCTGGAAGTCGTCTATCCGGTCGTTCGGAGTGCGATATACACTGACGTAAGTCGTCGAGTTATGTCTCACCCAAACGTAACCGCGTCCGGATCCTTGGTCCGACACATGTATTAGTCGGGTATCTGGGATCCAGATGGCTGCGGTGCCCAATTCGTCTGCGTACCATCCTACTCCTGTTCTGTCCTGGTACTGTTCGCTGATTAGAACAATATCAGCTTTTTTCTCAGAGCAGAGCTGGGTCAGAAGGTGATGCGCCGTCCTGCTCCTATTGAGGTTACCCTGAAGTACTCTCATCCTTTTTTCCTCTTGTTGGCTGTTGCAAGGGCCTCCTGGAAAGCTTTGCAGGCCCTTGATCCCGTCAGGTGCTTCCTAGTTTCAACACCGCTCTTTGAGCACAAGAAGCAAGTAGACTCGCTGACCTTGCACTCTTTGATCTTGTGCCCCGTGCCGCCACAATAATAGCAAACTTTACTGCGATCAGGTCCCTTGCACGAGGCACTATAATGACCATAGTCGAGACAGCGGAAGCATCGCCTCACTTCTGCCCTTCGCCTGATCCTGCAGCTGATGAAACTGATCAGCACTCGACCGGCCTTTAAAAGCTACG